TTAGCATGAAGGTTTTCAGTTTTTGACCATTTAGTATGATGTTGGCTGTTGGTTTTTCATAGATAGCCTTTATCAAGTTGAGATAAAGACCATCTATTCTAATTTTCTGCAGGGTTTTTTTTAATCATGAATGAGTGTTGAATTTTGTCAAATGCTTTTTCTGCATCTATTTAGATGATTATATGGTTTTTGTCCTTGACTCTGTTAATATAGTGTATTATATTAATTGATTTACGTATGTTGAATCATCCTTGCATCCCTGGGATAAATCCAACTTGGTCAGGGTCTATGATGTTCTTGATGATCCTCTGTCTTCTGTTTGCCAGTATCTTATTGAGGATTTTTGCATCTGTGTTCACTAGGGAGATTGGCCTGTAGTTCTCTTTTTTGATTGGGTCTTTCCCTGGTTTTGGAATCAAAGTAACACTTGCTTCCAGGAATGAATTTGGAAGTATTGCTTCCCTTTCAATTTCATTGAAAAGTTTAAAGAGTAGTGGCAATAGTTCTTCTCTAAATGTCTCGTAGAATTCGGCAGTGAAGCCATCAGGACCTGGGCTTTTCTTTGTTGGTAAATTTTTATACATTTTCAATTTTACTGATTGTAATTGGGGTGTTTAGAATTTTTATATCTTCTTCGTTCAACTTTGGTAATTCATATGTATCTAGAAATCTGTCCATTTCTGTTTTCCACTTTATTAGAGTACAGGTTCTTGAGGTAGGTATTGATGATCCCCTGGATTCCTGCTGGATCTGTTGTGACTTCATCTTTTTCATTCCTAATTGCATGGATTTGAGCCTTTTCATTCCTTCTTTTGATAAGGTTGGCTAAGGGTTTATCAATTTTATTTATTCTTTCAAAAACCAACTCAGATTTGTTGGGTTTTTTTTATCATTCTCTTAGTTTCCATTGCATTGGTTTCTGCTCTGATCTTTATAATTTCCTCCTTTGTATGAGTTTTAGGTTTGTCTTGCTCTTCTTTTTCTAGGAGCTTAATAGTCACCATTAGGTTGTTTATTTGAGCTAGCTCTGTTTTCCTAATGTCGCCATTCACTGCTATGAATTTCCCTCATAGAACTGCTTTCATTGTGTCCCATATATTCCTATATGTTGTACTGGCATAATTATTAAATTGTAGAAACTGTCTAATTTCTTCTTTAATTTCCTCTGTGACCCATTGGTTGTTCAGGAGAGTGTTTTCAATTTCCAATGTGTTTGTAAAGTTCTTGCAGTTTCTTATGCTATTGATCTCTAATTTCATTGTGCTATGGTCTGATAACATGCATGGGATAATTTTAATTCTTTGGCATTTACTTAAGCATGTTTTATGAGCTAGTATGTGGTCCATTCCGGGGAACATTCCGTGAGTAGCTGAGAAGAATGTCTATTTTGTTGTGGGGTGGAACACTTTGTGGACATCTACTAAGTTCATTTGTTCAAAAGTTTGGTTCAATTCTGGTATTTCTTTGTTGTTGTTGTTTTTCTTTAGTTGTTCTATTTGTGACAGTGGGGTTTTGAGGTTCTGTTATTGCAATTGTATTAGTGCTTATTTGACTTTTCATGTCTGTTAATATTTGTTTTTAAG